ACGCTCGTTTGTATTCAAAGGTTGATTTTCTGATTTTTTTTTTTACCTTGATTGATATACACTTCATTTTTTAATCAGAATCTGTAAACTCGTACTTACAGATCTTCATTCATTTCTCTCACATTCTGAATAATCTGATTTCATATTTCACTCCTTTGTTTATTTGTGCTTCAAAGTCACATCTTGATCAATTTTTATCTGATCATTGTGCTTTATCTGAAATACTAATTTTGATAAACTCTTGTGATCATATGAGAATATTGTATTTAGGAGGGACTGAGTGCTTAACAGAAATACCTCTATGGAATGTCAAAACCGACAAACCTACCCAAGAGGACAACCATATCTGAGTGAGCATTAAATACAAAAGGGTTTGTGTGCTGAGATTAAAATGAAAAAGAGAGGGTAGTTGTTGTGAGACAAAAGAATTGATGAGAGTTGTGTCAGGATTAAAAGAATATAAGAATCCTGTTCCAGACTTCAAATTACCGGGCATACCACATAATCTATTAGTTCTCAATTCTTTCGAGACTAATATTAAAAAAGGCAAAGCCTAGGCCAATTCTTGTCACAACCCCACTAGCTACTCATTTATCTCTTAACAGATAAGTGTTTCAATAACATTTGGGGCATGCAACTCACAATCTATCAATTTTTTATTCGGAGAAATTTGATATTGAAACAGAAGGATATATGTCCCCCCATCAAGTCTTTTTTATCACTAATTGAGTGTGATAAATTTGTGTAGTCCACACGGTTTATCTTTTTGAGCCTAAACAGAAGCATTAGTTGATTTATCTTTCTACACTACACATATTGCATTTTATATGTTATTTTGCCGAAACATTCATAGATATACTTCTATAAGATATCGATAATTGAATGGAAGACCTGGTGAGATGAACATCAAAAAGTCTCATATATACAGTACATCCGTTGTACTGAGTATATCCGTTATACTCACAGGCCAATCTTTTTATAAGATTGAAAACAATTTCATACGTTGAAATTGGATGTTACCTTCCCATTCCCTTAATCTGAAACGATTATACAAGTGGATTTGAAAAGATCTACTTACAATTTCATGAATTGACGGCTTTCGCGGAAGATTTCATTCATTTTTGTATATGATGTAATGATTCTCATTTCATCATAAGGGGGAGTATGTAATAATGATGAAATGTTCATTTCCAAACGTTATAAGGGGAATTTGTTATAAAGATCAAGGGGGAGTAACTTCATTGACGGCAAAAGACTCAAAAGGAGTGTGACTGGAGATAATTACTGAAGATTATTCCGATGCTACAATGTCTGAGAGTTGTTGAATGTGAAGATCAATTTTACAACAGTTTGCTGATAAAGATTACCTTTGAAGAGAAAGCTTTTTAAAAATCAATTCTGAAAATGGTTATTGTTTTTGTTCTACATTGTCAAAAGAGAAGACCATCACTGTTCTACATTCGAGGGGGAGAATGTTAAAAGATATTTCTCAACAAACGATCGTCTGAAGTGTTTGTGTAAAAGTCATAAAGTGCCTAAAGTGACAAAGATCAAACGAGTTTAAACGCGTGCAAATTCTTTCAAGTTTGAATACAAAGGGGGAGAATGTTAGGACTGAAAATCAGTATTATATTGTATTCTTTTTTAAAGTTAAATATTGTCTATAATTGTAAAAGTCATCGTGTTTGACTTTTCTGTAAGTTTGACTTTGACTTTCTAGACTTTCTTGTTTGACCCTATATAAAGGGTTTATTCTTTGTATTTGTGGTAGAGCTCAATTGTAATATCATTTTACGTAATAAGAGATTTGACAAGATTGTGAAGATTGGCTTTTTCTCTCATCTCTCTCATTGTGTTCTTGAATGCTCAAATCAAGATTCTGCCATGGATTGTTATTAGAAGATTGAAGATTGATTAAAGTGGAACAACATAAAGGCAAGCTAAATGTGATACTAGCCCAGAAACAAAGCGTTGAGATGACAATAGACAAGATTATTTCAGATTTCCCATCGGATAGAGACCTAAGGACAATGAATAAGGAGCTACAAAATCAGTTCGTACAAGAAAACTATTCTACAGGAGGTTTTCAAAATGATGAAACCCAAATTGAGACGTTTCAAACACCAAAGAGAACTGCAAAGGGATCAAAGAAACATATGAAAAAAGATACAAGAGTTTTGGATAAAAGCCCAGACTCAACTACTGGAATGCAGATTGTACTAGGTGCAACACTTGTGGATTCACCGATCTGGAGCATCCCCCGAACACAAATGGAATTAGATAATTCCTTCATTTCTTATGCCAAAAAAATGCAACTGAAGGCCTCTGAATTACCGAAGTTTGATTTAGGTATTCCACCTGATAAAAAGGTTGAGATTCCGCAACCCCTTTCATCCATCCCTCCCTTTTAAAAAAAACCATTGTTCTCACTTAACTCTCAAGTGAAATCCATCTGTGATGCACCTAAAACATCAAGAAGGGATGCGAACTTAGGGGGCTCACTAAGATCACCATATGTTAAGAGATGCGTAGAGATCGATACACTAGAGATAAGCTCGGAAAATAAAATATGCTATTGGATAAATGCAGCCACAGAACCAACTTGGTAAGTACCCTTACCTTTAATCTGTTATGTTGAATGTATATACCAAAAAAAGTATAACATGAAACTACTTATTTGAATACATGTTGTAGTGAATTGGTATTTGAGACCACAACATGAGCTGTTGCCTTGAGAGGCACCATAGAATCCCTATGTGCGTGAACACAAATATATAGTAATGATATCGACAATTGGGTAGTGTTAGTGAACTACAAAGAACGATTTAGAAATAGATCATCACCAAGAAGGTTGTTTATGCACAACGCAATTCTTGTAAGTGTGCTTTTGTAATTACTGTACATCATATAGATGAACTTGTACATCATCTAATCACAAAATGGTTCAACCAGTCGGAAGCAATGCTTGATTCAAACATAAACGAGGATGTCAAGCTCAAGATGTTTGTTGACAATATATCAACAGCAGTTGGAGGTGATGCTGACATGTTTACCTTCAAATCGATTGATTTGGTGAGTTAATAATTAGTAACTAAGGTTATTATGTGTCATTTAGATATTACATTTAATACACAACTATCTATGGCAGTTATTCTTTCCAATCATTGGACACATGCACGTCTTTGTTGTGGTGTTCAACTTTAAACGTCGATCCATATTTGTTATAGACAACCTGGAACAAGATCTTGAATCACCCAACAAATATGAGGAAATACCGGATCTTCTGGTGAGAAATATTAAACCAGCTAGAATTTTAATTCAGTAATCGTATGTTTATTTATATTATGGTTTGAGTCTTAGTTTTAACTGGTTCTTGCAGCACATTTTGATCATACAACGTATAAAAAAAGTAGGCCTTGCATTATATGAGGAATTTGTTGGTTTAGATCCGGTCAAGATTGCATTGAAATGGTGCACTAAACAGAATTCGCATGACTGTGGTGTTTTCTTGATTCGTCATACAGAGTGCTACATGGGGGAATTGCCTTACAGATGGAAATCAGGCCTTGATGTGGAAGGACCAAACCAAGTGAAACAACTGCAACTATTGAGAAGGAAATACACAGCTAAACTTCTGCTTTTAGATATCAACCTAAGACGATCATTTGTGATAACAGACTGTGAAAGGTTTAGCTCATTGGATGTGAAAGATAAAACACGTTTGCTTAAATACACAGAGGCCAACAGGGAAGCAAGGCTCGCAAGCCTTTAGGTACTGATGCAGAGTCGTATTTCATATCATATCTACTAAATAGTTGTTCTTTTCGTTAGTAGTTTGGAACAAATACATTAAAGGACATGTTAGTATGGTATTTTGTTTCTTAGACAAATGGTCTGGTATTACCTTATATCAAATGGATATTTCAATTCTTTTTGATGAATACAAAAATGGTTTTTGAGTCATTGATGAACTTTCTCATTTCATTAAGCATTTTAATAGTTGTTATCAAATCTTACACTACATGTATGTACTAAGGGACTTCAATCATATCATATCAAATGGATTCAACCCAACAGTTTCTTCACATTTCCACAACATAATCATTATTTTATCAAAATAAGTCATTTTTTTGGAATATTTATTATATTATGTCATATAGAATCACAACGACAAAAGATAAATCATGCATCATAGAGAATATGTCAAAGGGCTTCAACCAAACAGTCTCTTCATATTGAAACAACACAATCATTGTTTAATCAAAATAAATGGAAATACAGAACCAATGGCAATACAAAACCAATTAACCAATTATAATGACTAACATTAAAGCCTCAGAATGTTCAACACAGTAGGTACATTAAATTAAATAAAAACCTCATCTTAAAATAATTCCATAATAAAAACCGACAATCAATACGGATTCCATGCGATTGATAACTTGAGAAAACATGAAAATGGGAATTATATCAAATCAAATGACTTGAAAACATCAAAAACAAAATAGTCCTACTTTTTCTCGCTGCACAGTTACGGATATCGTGATTAGATAACAACTTACATCCGTTACACATCCTCTAAGGCCGTTTACTCTTCACTGCGGCTTTCTCAGCTGCCCCAATCAATCTTTTGGATGTACCACACCCTTTGTTTCTTATACTGGTAGCGGGACGTATCTTAATGTTATCGAGTCTTGGAAAACCAAGGATTTGTTCTATTCCACGCTTTTTACGTTTCATTGAAGGTTCATATGTACGCTCTTTGGCTAAATCATCCCTCAAGTCTTTAATTGTAGCCACCAATGATTCTAATTTTTCTTTGTCGTCTCTTAATATGTCCAACACATCATCGATAACGTCATATGTATCATTTAATAATCTACGTTGATCCTCGCCTACGTCGCATATTCTTTGACGACTGTTTTGTAGTTCAATCGTCATAAGGACGCGTCTCCATCTTCTTAAAATGTATTTTTTAGGTATAGATTCAACACCAGTGTTTAATAATACTTTAAAAACATGTCTGCATAAATAATCATGTCGACCAATATGATTGCAACTACAAACAATGTCAACTCCTTCAAATTACAAACAACCTGGACAGAATATACAGTTGAAACAACTAAGATCACCATCAAAACGTTGTTCAAATAAAACAATAACATAGAAAACTAATAATAAAGGACTTTGTATGAAAGCATACCTTATATTCTTCTATTTTCTCGTCTCTTTTGTTTAAATGTTCAATTAAATATGTGCCAACTTCCTCGTCTGCATTGACACTATTAATTGAACATGTCCAGGCAACCCTGTGTAACTCAGTTTGCACCTCAAAAAATACAGAATGCGTGTAAGCCTCACAAGCGTGCCTCTCCAACTTGTTGTAGTTCAACCATTTAGGTAAGGTAGTCCTCATGTGATAATCTAGAAAATGTTGTTCCCTAAGTTGTTTCTCCAATGCAAATTCAAACCCCAACATAAATTGAAAAAGATTGTTTCCAATATTTGAAAAAGAGTTAAAGAATAAGTTCACACTTTCCAACCTAGACGTTGTCTTCATAAGGCAACACATTAGAAGCTCTTTAAGATATGCGGGGATCCACTGGGATCTTAGAACAAACATATCTTTCAACCAGGAATGATCTTGAAGAGAGAACGCCTCAATACGAATCATCCATCTACTCTCAAACTCATAAGGGGATATGTGAATGTTCCATACCAGCTTGAAAAATTGTTTCTTAAACGTGGTGTTATTAAGAAGATCCTAATTGCACTGCAAGTAAATTAAATATGTAATCAACTAAAGTAGATTTTATTGCAGGACATTGGTCAGTAAAAATCATAGAGAGGGCTTCGAATGTGCTTTTCGAAATGCTTGCAATAGTCATTTGTAATTTGGAACATGTTCATGTCCAACCAAAGCTAATCCAACAACGACATTGCAGTTATGGTTGTCGACCACAGTGAACGGAACAAAAACCATGAAATGTCTAAAACAATAAACATGTCAAACATTAAAAATTATAAAAAATCCATTTTCATATAAAGCAACATATACGTACCTGTTGGTCCGAAATGTAGCTTCAAAGGATATTACATCTCCAAATTCTAAATAATTGAATCAAGCTACCTGTCAACCCAGAAAATAGTATGCAACTTACTACCAATACAATTGTACTCGAAAAAAAAATTATGATCGGCATCCCTCTTCTTTGTCATCAAATCAACCAACACCTTTGCATCACCACGATCGACAAAATTGTCACATTCCCTCTTATAATTTTGATAATCAACAACCATTGGACCACCATATTCGTACCCTCTTATCGATGTAAGAAACTTTTTAAAAGATGGATGAAACTCAGACCTCGTCTTTTACTATCCTGAATATCATTGTTTGATGTGTATCCTGTTGTATCATCCATTCCATGTGATTCAACATCATCTATCAACCCAATTTCTTCACAATTTTTATCAATCTGTTTGAATGGAGAAAGACCCATATCAAAAGCTTCATTATTCTCCTAGGTTTGAACCTTCATATCATTTAGAGTACCTTCAGCGGAGTTGATAGACAGTGAAGAATCAATCAGGTTCTTGCATTTGTTCATCATTACATCAGAAATCCTAAAGGACAAAAACTCTGCAAAAACATCGATTGAATTGATATTGCTAAAGATTATAAACTAAATCTTGATCAAATATAAGAGATTTCATCTAATTATTTTGAATCAAATTCATGAGTAAATAAATAATTTAAATTTTCATATGATTTTTTTGAATCAATCTCATTAGTAAATTAGGAATGTTAAATCTGAATTGATTGCACAGATTTAAACACATGGAATTAAAAATAATTATTTAATTTAATCTAAGTAATTTACTAATATGCCTTTATATATTAATTTAAAAAGAATAATTAATATATTAAAATGATTGATTGAGATTGAATCTTACAGTTCCTACAAACAAAATAGTTCTCATTTGATTAGGCTTATATATATATATATAGAGAGAGAGAGAGAGAAATAAATAAATATGAAAGAAGTCATTTTCTTAAAAGTAGCTATATATATATATATATATATATATATATATATATATATAAGACTTATATATAAAAGACTTTGAAGCTACTTTTAAAAAAATTGACTTCTTTCATATTTTTTTCCTCTCATAATTTTGATTTATTTTTAAATTAGAAACCACCATCAACAATATATCTAATTATTTCAACACATTAAAATATTATTTCTCTTACATTTTCTAAATAACAATTAATGGAATTTTAAACTTTACTTTATTCTTTATTATTATTTAAACATACTTTTTTTGATATTTTTTCTCACTCTTCTACATAATCAAAAAATTTAATAGTAAGGTAACAATCAATATATTTATCATTTCCTTTATATATATAAAACCAACAACTACAAAAAATGTGGTGGAACCCTCTTATAAACGTGAAAATAACTTCTTCTTTTTCTCAATCTATGTTATTTTTTTTTCTTTTTTTTTTCTCAAATGCCAACTTTTTTTCGGTTTACTTTCTCTGTTACTCTTTGGTAATAAATAATAATGCACTTAAATAAAGAGATTAATCGAAGAAGTTCAAAGGTTTTTACTAACTTTTCAAGATGCAACATAAATGCTTCCTTTCTCCATCTTGCATATAAATGAAAGTCATGATTCTTGACATCCATTGGAGCATGTTAATACTTCTTAAGGTACAAGATGCTTGTATTTCTCATCCCACCAAGTTATTGTTCAACTTTCAAAGGTTACTTATGCATAGTACGAATATCTTTTGGGTTTATTTATTTGTTTTGTGTGTGTTAAAACAATATCTTAGATTTATTTTTTTTCTGATTTTTTTGCTTATGTCGGGAATTTTGTAGGTTATCTTTGATTGCTCAAAGGTTTACCAATGATTTTATTGCCAACCCAAGCAGTGTAACACCTCCAAATTCATATATTGCATATAACACATATTTCATACATAGAATACATGTTTTTCCCACATAGGTCCACACTACAAAAGTCTATAATGTAAAATACGCAACCCAAAAATTCCAAAAGTACATGTTTTGTATCCTAGCATCTATTCTTCCAAAACAGCTAAGCACATAGGGAAGTAATTCACATAATGCTCTTTCTTTTATTATCTTTACCTGCACACATATTTTTGCCGATCCCAGATCTCTCAATAACACTAATAATCTAGTTAATAATAACCAAATTATAGTGATTTGATGAACAAAGTGATGAACACTCAAGAAGAAMTTATGAACAATTAAGAACAATCTTGAGCGTCAAAGATTTCACTTTATTAATACGAAAAACTTAAAAGCGACTGTTTTTACAATAAGCCTAATCATATATTTATACTAATAAGAAGATAACTATCTAATTAGACTTTTTAGCTAATCTTCTATTAACAGATAATGTTTATCTAAACTATGGATAAGCTTTAGTAATTAAGATAAACTCGAARTCTAGCTGTTGACTTGTCATCTCCAGCTGTCATTCATGGTATGAAGGATCATCCTTATCTTTAAGTCTTCATCGCATGCTTCTGGATGAATTGCTGGAAAATACTCTAAGTGTAGTTGACCAGAGGTTTGATGAAGATGCTCTTTCCATCGCATCCTTGGTCGTCCATCGGTCCTCTGGTTGTTCTCCAGACTTAGTCAATTTTACCTTGATATCTTCATCGGTCTTCTGGTTCTTCATCACTCATTGTTTTTCATTACTTTTTCACTTTATGAATTATGGGGTTTAACAATCTCCCCCTAAGTAATGAAATAACAAACATAGACTAATCTAGAAACAACCGTGAAGAATAGAGACTAATCTAATAGAAAAACATCAAATTCTAAATTTTCATTAAATGATGAAATTCTTACAATACTGGAATCAAAAGACATCAAGACAAAAAAATACAACTCATCATGAGCTACCTTGATATATTTCTCTGAAGCGCATGAGCAGTATTCGATAGCCGATGATTGTCGATATCTCATGAATGAGCAGACTCCCTTTTTCTGTTGGCACATGGTTTCTACCTAGTTTTTCTCTAATGACTTTCTGAAACCATTCAAGTGTGTCCGATGAATACTTGAAGGCCTCAGTAAGTCTAAAGAATTTTTTAACCCCGAACTCATTCTTGTAACCAAGTCCAAGTTCGGGTTGAGTTAGGACTGAGGCAGATCTTTTTTCCTGCAGGCCTTGGAAGTCTTTATTTGGTGGAGCGCATGATAGTCTTTCAATGTCTAGCCGAAATCAATTTCAAAATCACTCTTGGCTCTATGGTTCACCAGGGTTTCCATCATTTTTACTACCGCTCGGTTCGCCATTCCATACCTGATGCCGTGGTCCTGCCTTTGAGTCGTGTATGCGTATAATTCAATCAAGTCATATGGATTGAGATTAATGAGATCATTTTTGTTGAACACACTAACTTGCATATGTGCTCTCTTCACAGTGAACTTGATGTATCGAATGGCTCGGTTGGCAAATGTCGTTACTTTTAGATCCATGACCTTTTTTATCCCATCATTCGAGAAGACAGCCTGAGGTGCTTGTGTGGTCTGTCTAATGAATCTATGGTGTAAGAGGTCCATGGACTCAGGTGATAAGATCAGAGGGTTGATGGTCAAACTTTCATCGCGGTCTTTGTCTAGGTATTGATGGATGTTTTCCATCATAATTGGTTCCCTAGGTGGCAATTCAGGACGTCTCCGCATTGACTCCATGCTTTGTATAATCTCATTTACCAGGTTCTGAGGAGGTTGCCTTGATGAAGAGGGAGTATCCGTATACACCATGGGTAGTTTGGTTGAGGGTTGTGTATGAGTTAGTGAGGGTATGGTTTCTTGTTGAGTTGGTTCAGCTTGGGTTGGTTGTGGTTCATTGGGTTCGGCTTGGGTGGTTTCTGGTGCATGGGGTTCTGTTTGGGTTTGTGGTTGTTGGGGTGATAAAGGTTGGATTATTGTTGGTTCTGGTTGTATGGATAAGGTGAAGGGTTCTGTGGTACGAGGGGTTGGTGAAGGTGTTAAGGGTAAGTTTGGTGTGGGTGATGAAGGTTGGTTTATTTCTGTTGGTGGGATGATTGGCTCTTCATCGGTTGAGGAACTCAACACGATGGGTTCTGGGGTTGCAGCGAAGGGAACATGTACATATTGTACATCTTCAGAGGGCAGAGCCTCTGGTTCCCTTGCTTGGGTTCCTTCGGTTGAGGGTGGTGGTTGAGTTTGTGGATTTGGTGGTGCAGCGGATTCTGTATTTTGTGCAGCCGCGGCCTCTGTCTCCCCCTCATGAGGTCCAAGACCTTGATCATCGGGGTCTTGGTTTTCATGCCTTGGCCTTTTGTGTTGGCGGCTGCTGGAGCAAGAGGCTCTGCTCCTCTTTTTCTTTTTGTCCTTCCTGAAGGACGCAATATACGCCTTCAGGGCTGCTTGTCTTCGATTCGCCTCCATTGTTTGGAGGAGAGAGGTGGTGCGCCGTTGTTCATCGACCATGTTCTGGGAGAGAACCCTTGTTGGATGGATGGCCCGATGAACAAATTTGGCACTAATCTCATTGAAAGATGATACTAGCGCCTTGGACAGAGCCCGTAGGTCAGCTCTGGTTGTGAACTCGGTGGAGGAGGATGAGGCTTGTGGTGGTATGGAGGTGGTGGTGGATGTATATGGAGGGATGGGAAGGTTGGTGATGAGGTCTCTCACCTTTGCAGTGAATGAGGAGAAGGCTTCATCAAAGGATGGGCCTGCAGAGGGAGGTTGGGGTGGAGGAGTAGGCTGGAGGATTTGGGCTAGGATAGTGGCGGGTAGTTGGGTGAGGGTGGTTTGGATGGAGGCCATTTGATTGGTGAGGTTGGCAAGGGTAGCATCGATAGATGAGGTGGATTAAGGTGGGGCTTGATGAGGAATTTGGGAGATGATGGTTGTGGGTAGGGAGTTAATGGTTTGAGGATGGTTTGAAGTTGGGAGATGATGTAAGTGAGGTTCTCATCGGCCTCAGTTGCCTGGGCCGTGAGGGTGGCAATGGATTGGATGAGGATTTTGTTTCGTTGGGTGGCAAGGGAGGATGTGGTGTTGTGATGTTGGGTGATGGTTTGTTGGAGCATTTGAAGGCGGGTGGTATTGTCTTGGGTTTGGGTTTCAATTTGGGAGAGATGGTGTTGCAGGATTGCAAGGGATTGTTGGAGATTAGAGTTATCGGTGGATGGTTGGTTGTCAACAATCCCTTGTATGATGAGTTTAAGGTCTTCCAAGGACCGCATCACTGTGTCGACAATG